GAGCGTCCCTGAATTCGTCGATTCGAAGATAAATACATGAACAGAGGACTGCGAGAGTCTTTGTCCGTTGTCAGCCTGTAACGCCCTCGTAACTAGAACTTTGAGTGACAATGAGACACCCTCGTAACATCGATGCTGAGGCAACCAGAATCACGCGACCACAAGGCAAGAAATTCCATAACGCATCGAGAAACATCGGGTGCGTCGAAAAAGACTCGGGAGCGTTCCTGAATTCGTCGATCCGAAGATAAATACACACACGGAGGGCTGAGAGAGTCGTTATCCGTTGTCCGCGTGTAACGCCCTCGTAACTAAAACTTTCAGTAACACTGAGGTACCCTCGTAACAGCGACTCTGATGCAAGTAGAATTACGCGACCAAATGTCAAGAAATGAAATTTCGTAGCACATCAAGAAACATTAATACCTCCTTAACGAACTCTGGAAAAAGTGAGAGCGTCCCTGAATTCGTCAATTTGAAGATAAATACATGAACAGAGGGCTGCGAGAGTCTTTGTCCGTTGTCAACCTGTAACGCCCTCGTAACTAGAACTTTGAGTGACAATGAGACACCCTCGTAACATCGATGCTGAGGCAACCAGAATCACGCGACCACAAGGCAAGAAATTCCATGCGGAGAAACATCGGGAGCGTCGAAAAAGACTCGGGAGCGTTCCTGAATTCGTCGATCCGAAGATAAATACACACACACTGAGGTACCCTCGTAACATCGACTCTGATGCAAGTAGAATTACGCGAGCACACGTCAAGAAATTTCGTAACACATCATGAAACATCAATAGCTTCGAAAGGAACTCTGGAAAACGTGGGAGCGTCCCTGAATTCGTCGATTCGAAGATAAATACATGCACAGAGGGCTGAGAGAGTCGACGGATGAATCGACAGCGCAGATCACCATAGTCCAGTCGACATGGTCATTAATTTGTAATACATTTGTTGTAAGAGTTGTAATAAATTAGTGTGAGAGTAATAAATCGGAACTTGAATAGTAAAAACAGTGCTTTGGTTGCAATACTGTATAGAAAAAAGGATCAGGGCGCATATGCGGAGCTTTATAGAAATCAGGTATCAAAATTATAATAACGAATCATATGTATGACGAAAGGGCGAGATTTAGGTATAATCATGCCCTAGATTCCACTATATGAATTTAAGCATAATGTGTTTCGACCCTATATCAGATTGCATAGGTGGCTAGATGCAAACTGGTTCTAGCTCGGATACATATGAGTAAATAACACAAACTTAATTTTTTTGGCCAAATTAAGGAAAATAAAGATAATAAATAATAAAAATAAATATAGCCCATATACGTGTATGTTTTAAATCAGTCAAAATTGACTATTATATTCCCTGAAAATATATAGGGTGCTCCATTTATAAAAATACAACTTTATTTGATAGCACTGTTCCGATACAAATACAGGGTTTTTCAGAAATATGGATGTTTCAATACTCCTAGGATATAAATTACATCCAAAAATAAAAAAAACAAGGTTCTTATAAATACTACCTCAAAGATGCTCCCCCTACCAAGGTACAGGGTGATCAAGTCTTCTTACGAAATTTAATATATGTATATTTACAAAGTGTCCGCAAAGTTGGGGTTTTCCTTTACACGACGTGTAGATCTTGAAAACATAAGCTTTTTTTCTTAGTACCGTATACACCAATGTCTTAAGGGAACCGAGATAAAGGGCTCTGCAACATCAAAAATATCTGAATACCGTCCTGTAGCCGCGACATCACGGAGTGGTACAATGTCACTAGCTCAACCCGACGACAGAACTGGGACGGGGTCAGTGTGTCAGGTCACGGTTACGGTCACGCGTGTAGAGGTAAACGAACCCGTATAAACGATTGCGTTTCAAAAAACAACAAGCACTAGAGACGTGGCTAGAGAAGTGCAAGTATCAAAAACTAAAGTGTGGCAAGCGCTGCGTGAAGAGGGGCTGTATCCGTTTCACGTCCAACGTGTACAAGCCCTTCAACCTGACGATTTGCCAGCAAGAGTGCGGTTTTGTGAGTGGTTGTTGCATCAACATGACAATAATCCGGACTTTTTGAAGTGCATATTAGTGACAGACGAATCTACGGTCATGCGTAATGGGGTGAATAACTTTCGCAACATTCATGTTTGGTCAGTAGAAAATCCGCACGCTGTCCGTCGGGCACATTTTCAACAAACATTTTCGGTGAATGTTTGGGCTGGCATGGTGAACCTAGACCTAGACTTTTTACGTAACATTTTGCCTTCCTTGTTTGCCTGCGTCTGCTCGGTAGCGCATCAGCTGATTTCATTTTCTGTTGGAGCGGTATGATTTCGGGCAGAGACGTACTTAGCCCTTCTCGTCAACTGGAGAGTGAGTACTTTTTCCTTTATTTTTTTTACTTGGTCGCCCTCGTTTCACTATACATTACCTTTGTTATTTCAAGGGTAGTTGTTTCTGAAAAGGAAAAACCCGACTTTGCGGACCCCCTGTATATATAGTTTACCATTTATTACACCTTGAATATGCACGCCACTGGTTTTCATGTTATACTTCTCGTGGTACTACCCTGTGTGGATCCCTCTGTTTGTCTAAAATCACAACTATTAATTGTGAAACCAATCAATTTGAGTAAGATCCTTATATAGAAGGTACGACGATGATGATAGAAGAATAAACGTGAAAACAACAAACTCATTTCGAAGTGCCACCCTGTACCATTTTATTTTGATAACAAGGGCAGCACATCAACAATTATATGTGGGCAACAATGTTAGAATAATTTAAAAGCCACTTACTTGCTGACGAAATGACAACGAGTTATTCTCCTTTGACAAGCGATAAGGGCGATATGATCGGATTGACGTGACCAACACCTATTTTCAGAAAAATGATTTGAATACCTCCCAGAGTCAACCGACTCATTACATGGACATCTCTGCTACCTTGCGATTACGTTAATTATCCGCAGAGGTACCAATTCATCATACAGATTATACTAAGTGACATGTAAATCCGAACACCCAGTTTAAATGGTTTTATTTTAATAAAATTTTGTATAAGTACTTAATGAAGCATAATAAGTAAATGATAAAAATTTCAAAATGATTGCACTGCTTTAAAGCCCTTTGACCTTAATAATGTGTGGATGCACCCTGATGTGCTACGCATTCTCCAACGCGCCTAGGCATGCTTCTGATCAGGTGGTCAATGTCCTCCTGTGGTATCTCATTCCAGGCAACCACCAACTCCTCTCGAAGTGCTTCTAGAGTCTGAGGAGGACGTTGCAAATTGAGCAATCTCCTACCCATCATATCCCACACGTGCTCAATTGGGGATAAGTCGGGAGATCTTGGTGGCCATGGTAACAATGTGACACCATTATGTTGAAAGAAGTCTATTGTGACTCTTGCAACATGTGGTCGGGCATTATCTTGTTGGAAAGTTGGATCTGCCAGGGTGTCAAGATAGGGTAAAAGATGGGGTTCTAGAACTTCGTGGATATAACGCTGCGCGTTCATGTTACCTCTGATGAAGATTAAAGGTGACCTGGAACCATAAGCTATAGCACCCCAAACCATAACTCCAACAGTGTGATGAACATGTCTTTCAACAAAAAACTGTGGATTCCTCCTTTCACCACGTCGCCTTCTAACCCTGGCACGACCATCGTGCATGCCTAAACAAAATCGAGACTCGTCATTAAAGACAATACTGTTCCTGATCCCAGAGTGACCGTTGTCTGCACCACTCAAGGCGATTACGTCGGTCTTCTCGAGTTAAAGGGAGGACCCAGTGTGGCCGGTATGAAAACAAGCCAAAACTTCTCATTCGTCGGTAAACACTTCGCATGCCAATAGGTCTTCCGTGTTCTGCAAACCATTCATTTGCAATGGACCTGGTAGTGAAGAAATGGTCCCTTAAGGCCAATAATCTTAGGCGGCGATCTTCACGGTCTGTTGTTCTACGGCGGCGTCCTGTGCCCCTTGCTCTTTGTGTACGGCCTTCTCGAAGCCATGCCTGACAACACCTAACCACAGTGCCTACACTTCTTTGCACTCTAACTGCAATTCCCCGAAAAGAAAGTCCAGCTTCCCGAAGTCCCACTATACGGCCCCTATCAAACTCACTAAGTTGACGAAATCGTACAGGTCTCCGTTCTCTAGGCATCGTAACCGATCTTAAAGGATGTCAAGAACCAAAATCCGCCAACGTTGATTCTTTACTGCGGCTGAAATATTCATTTTTAGAGCGTTAGTGAATTAAAAAAAGCAGTATAAAAACCAGAATGTCCAACTGATCAGGCAGAAATTTTTTTTATTTTCAGTAAGATAAATACATTCACCAACTTTTATTAAAATAAAACCATTTAAACTGGGTGTTCGGATTTATATGTCACTTAGTATATTTATGATTTATCATATACTTGTCCTCACATCGTAAGAGCGGGAGCACACAGCCCCCTGGGACATACAGTCCGTCTAGGACACACAGTCCTTCACTTAGGATTTCAGCGGCCTATGTTGATACCCAGGAGTAGGATCCAGGATGTCACGTTACCGCGTCAATATCCAAAGGCTCCGATGCTACCTCTGATCCAATGATAACCGAGCAACATAACTTTAAAATTACAATCCCTATACACAACCTGTCATGAGATACATTCAGTCTCCAGCCATTGCCAAGAGAAGATAGTTGAACGGTCATTCAGACCTAGGATGCCACTTCGACCAAAAGCCATCGTCTCAACATTCCAAGCGCTCCGACATGTCCCCTGAGAGGGGAAACAGAGCAGTAATCATCATAACTATACTATAACTATCTAAAACTGTAATGACTCATCGATGTTCACGTGAACATCACTTAACTACCAGTAGTCGGCTGTTCATAGGCGGGGTATGAATGTTTAACATGGGTGAACTAGATTTGCCACATGCTTAATAAAGAGTAGTTTGAAACATATTGTAAGTCAAAAATTTGGGAATTACCTTTATTCATCGTCGCTTCCACTTACATCTGGCAGTAATAAACTGTCGCTATAGCTTTCCTCGTTGAAATTGACTATAACTGGCTCTATGATGGTGTCGATGTGGTGGTCAAGCTGCCACATTTTTGTTTCTTCCTTCACAACATGACGGATAGCATTCTGCCAAGCTTCGGGCGTTACTAGCTATATGGAAGTCTCAAGTAAAACCTTAACGTCTGGTAATTTGAAGGTTGTGTTATGGCACGCAATATAACCCTTCACTTGAGCCCAGATGAGCTCTATTGGGTTCAGTTCACAGTGGTAGGGCGGTAACCGCAGCACAGTGACACCACATTGACGGGCCATCTCATCAGTCACGTAACTAATGTTCGCAGGTTTGTGCTGTTTAATTTTTTCATACAATTCCGCTTTCACACATGAATCGTCAAACGGGATTCCTTTTTCGCGCAACCATTGCTGCATGTCACCTTTTTGAGATCCCATAGTCGGTACACGTTCGGTTTGACGACTATGGTAGGAAGCATTATTCATGACGATCACAGAGTTGGGCTCAACTCGCTGAAGCACCCCTTGAAACCAGCTCTCGAAGCAGCTGGCATTTATTTCGTCATGGTAATCACCTCCTTTCTTAGAGACGAAAATCAAGTCACACTCTTCTAAAAAGCCACTATTGTAACGCTTCCTTTCCGCAAAAAGTCCAGAAAAGATGGAATGCAATGAAGATTCCAACTTTTCTGCACAATCACACAAAGGGGGTTACAATTAGCTTCCGGTAGCTCAGTCGGTGGCATGAAGACATCTACAGGCGTGTAGCTGTGTGTCGACCATGGCATGGCTAGAGGATAGAAGAACAAACAGAACACAAAAATTTAACAGATTTTATTTAATAAAAAAAAGGCATTTTCATTACATTACAATTTTACAAAAATAACAAAATAAGTTTTTAACGCTATCGACTTATCTTTCGCTGGTCCATTTTTACTCGACTGAAGCCAGGATGGCCAGGGGCTTGAAGGGGAGGTCCCAGTTATGAGGGGTGACCTCCATATAGTGGCTTCACAACCAGTTGTAGGCGAAGTTAAAGGCGATGGCGCTGCCAAGGTACATGCATGGGTGAAAATATTGGCCAAGGCTAGGCAAAGTGAAATGGAAAGAGAAAGGGGGTGGCCCCAATCTGAAAAAGAACCGTGTGCATTAGCAACGTGCCCTAATGGCCAAGGCATTTCCAATCTCAGTCTGCCTCAAAAGAGAACCAACGATTTTCTAGATTAGAATTACATTATATAGTTTGATAAAATCAAACCGAAAATTGGAAATGCCTTTCATAAAATAAAATCATGAAATAGCAAAAAAAGCGTAGAACAAGATGGTGGTCATCAAAAATTTCTCCACATGCTTCTGATATAAAAACATAATCATCGAATATTCATAATCAACGTACTTATAATTTCACTGAACTATGAATATATATACGCGCACAGAGGTAAAATCGATGTGGATCGATTTCCACCTCGATTTGATTAAAGTTATGGCGAATGATCGAAGTAGTCGAAAATGACGTTCGATGGATATTTTAAAATCGTACAAGAAATAAATCACTTACATATCGATTATCTATAAACTACAGGCTGATCCAGAAATAAAACTGTATAGTATTATAAAACTCACCATTTTTGTCCTATACGGACACACATTTTAGAAAATTCTAGCACATGGTGCTATATAACCTTGTGCTACTGAGAAGAAATTTCTAGCCGTTGTTCGATCGGCGGCTCAAGTGAAAAGGAAGCGCGAGGAAGATCGCAGATCAGGAACTCCGCATCAAGCGCTCCAAGCGGAAAATTTTCCAAGCAAAAAAGCTAGAGATGGGATTAATGAAATGATAATCGAGAAGTGATTTAATAAATACGATCGGACGGTGAAACCGTTACACTCGCCCCAACTTAACCAAAAAAAAAAATCGAAGAAGCATTTAAGAATTTTTTTTTTTTTACTAGGAAATTGAAAGTTATCACGGAAGGACAAATGTACAACCATTCGACCAGATAACAAGTAGTAAAAGTAAGGTAGAAACAAAAATGTTAGAAGAGATTTGGAAGGAAAAGGGATAGCCTCAAGTCTACCAAACAAGAGGGATGGTTATAGCACCAACTCGCTGAAAAGTACAGTGAAGTTGCACCTAAAAAAAAAACTATCATCATATGATGAAAAACCCAAAACATAAAACATCGTCATACCTAAGACGAGAAAAATAATAAACCAAAAGTTTCAGCAGTAGTCCAAGCATGAATCACAATGGCATCCAAAATGCACGACTGACTACTAAAAACTTCAAAACTAAGTAAGTACCTAAACCATAAGAGGTACTAAAAAAAATAATAATCTTTCTCAAAACAATAATTGCCAGATTATCTCGCAATACTCCAAACCCAAAAAGAATATCATCTACAGTGATATTTTAAACCAATATCCAATATAAAAAAAAGTGCATTACTATTTTCAAAATATGAAAATCAAAAGAAATTAACAAATTCCATTAGGAATTCAAGTCATATAACAAAACAATTTACAAGTACTAAACCAATGAAAACTTGATCACGAAGGTATTTTAATCAAAAAAGATGTTAACTAAGTGCAGTTCTGATTCCACAAAAAAATTGTCGGGCGCCAGCAGTCTGTAAGACTACAAAATAATTTAAAATATTTTTAGAGAATTAAAGTATATAAGAGACATTCATGAAATATTGAAGTAAGATTTTCAAAGTCAAAATATAGCTTAAGTTCAATCAATGAACTAGAATTCAAGAGTAAGTTCAATCAAAATTTTCGGGTCATGTGACAACATAAGAACCAGACCAAAAAAAAAAAAATTTTTGAAGTTCAATATAGAAAAGAGCAAAATAAATTTCAAAAAAAAAAACTAAGTGCAACACAAGTGCAAGCGTATATCTAATAGTATTAAAATAATAAAGTGAAAGGAAATATCAAAGCTATATGAGCATGATTTTATAAAGATTTCTCAAAAAAAATACAAAAGTAAGCAAAATATTCATGAGTAATAAATGAGAAACGAAGTGAGCATATGTAAAATGCAAAATAGCGAAACGAAAATCACAAGATATTTTAATAAATCATGATACATGAGAGTAATGCCGCAAGCAAAAATCGTATGCAAAAGTCTAAGATATATGTAGGTGCAAAATTGGAGTTATAAAAAAAATCTAGTGAACAAGAAATAGAAATAAATATGATAGGTAAGAATTCGAAAATATGAGAGAAAGACAACTTTCTAGGGTCACCATAGGTGCATTCCAAAGCCCTAGACAAGAATGTCTATAGTCTATGGAATATTCTCATGTAGATCACTGATATCATCAGCGCACTTCAAAGTCTACACTGAGAATAACCATATCATTGTAAAATGAAAGTTAAGTTCAAATATGAAATATTACAAGATTAGAGAAACTATAATAATTTACCAGTGTAAAGTATGAAAAGGGAATTACTATACTGAATCTATAAGGATTGGCGATTACTTCAAGTCAAGACAGAAATTAAAAGAAATAAGAAGTCGGAAAAAAGATTATGAGAGCAGACTATCAAAACAAATGCAATAATGCAAAAGCAAAATCACCAGATATTTCAAAATCTATAGCGAAACATGAAAGCAATGTCGCAACCAAGCTCAAGACTTAGCAATACGCACAAATGTGCACAAAGGCTGAAAGCATATATGAAAAATCTCAAGAAGGAATTGACAATTACTTCAAATCAAATTGAACTGATTGAATTGAACTGAGACATAAATAACTATATCAAAAGTGAGTTTTACTTATACGCCAGAGGTTTCAAGAGTTTATCAATACGCACAGATTTGCAACTAGGCGGAAAGCATATATGACAAGTCTCAAGAAGAAAATAAAATGCATATGAAGAAAACACTTTCAATTAAAGAAACTGTGGATAGTACAAGACCCTCAAGGCATACATCGCAACGAATCTATGTAACTATCCAGACTACAAAATACTGTCAAAGTTCAAAACCACTCAAAAATATGTAAACAAACATCAAAAGTTTGAACCAAAAATCAATGTAAGTCTGTGCTCTCGAAGAAAGTTATAATGAATTCAAAAAGAGGATACTATCAAAAACTTCAAAAGTAATAGACTTCAAAAATAGAAGTACGTAAGTATGTAAAGGAAATTCAGAAAATATACGCATAAAAACATTATAAAATATTATACACAGTATTTGTCACATGATTTAGATCGGGAATGCAATTTAAATTTTGAGTACACTCAGAAAAATGAAATATTCAAAAGATGAAGTATACACATTAAATTGGAATCAGAAAAATAATGATTACTTGTAAATTTTGTACATGGTGGACTGACGTAATGGTTCAAAAGGTTGAAAGAACAACGATGACTAATGTCCAAAGTAAACATTCAGCTGCCTCTTACAGCAAATAAGTTTATTCATTATCAAAGGAAATTCTTCTCCGTTCGCATCTGTACTAGGAAATAAATATAGGAAAACCTACTCGCTCCAATGTACAGATCGAAAAACTCGCCCCCTTCGATTGAGCGGAAATATGAGTATTGGACTGATTGTAATATTTCAAAAGGTTGAAGGATCAACGATGACAAATGTCCAAAGTAAACATTCAACTGCCTTTTACAGTAAATTAGCTTAGCAATTATCAAAGGAAATTCTTATCCGTTCGCATCTGTACTAGGAAATGAATATAGGAAAACCTACTCGCTCCAATGTACAGATCGAAAAACTCGCCCCCTTCGATTGAGCGGAACTATAAGTATTATTACAAATGATAATGATTAAGCAAGAATAATTTATCTGAATTTTAGAATATGAGAGTATATAAAGCATAATAATACACAAAAGCAAAAGTTAATCGCTGTCCGAATCAGAACTCTCACTCATTACATCATTACGCAAAACATCAATACCATTGCCATGATCAACATTCAACGTATTATCAGGTTTCAAGTCTTTAACATGAAAATCTCCCAAGATATTACCATGGAGATCTTTCAATGTGTATACTAACGGAGATTTTACTATATGAATAATACAAGGAAGGAATTTTGGACTTAGTTTGGCACAAAAGTTGTCTGCAGCACTTGATTGAAAGAAATTGCGTTTGAGAACTCTATCACCTTTATTAAATTGCAGATGTCGTCTACGCAGATTATACCTATTTCTATTAAGTTCGTAGGAATGCCGCATTCTGTGCTGGACTTTAAGGTAAAATTCTGGAATTTGCTGAACAAAATTTGGATCTATGACGTTCTGGTCGATATTGACTGGATTATTGGCAACAGGTGCAATCTTTCCATAGAATGACCCATCAACTGGTACATTTCTGTAAAAATTTAGAAAGCTGGGCGAGTATCCTGTGACTTCATGTTTAGCAAGTCTGATTGCTTGAGCTATTTGATGAATAGACTCATCCCAAGTTTTATGAGAGTCTTTGATATAGGACCTAATTGCAGTAACGATGGTTCTGTTAACTCGCTCAGTAGGATTTACCTGAGGGGTGTATCTTGCTGAATACCATATCTTCTGCACTTTATATGAATCTGCAAGCGCTTGAAATTCTTTAGAAATGAACTGTGGACCATTATCTACAAC